AATTTTCCAGCGATAGTGAAATCGTTGGTTGGGCGTGGAGCCCGTAAACATTGTTGTCTTGTTTGTTTACTTGATGCTTTGTGTGTGCGTTGCTTGTTGGTGTATTGCTTAAAACACTATTCTGACTTTGTATAATCAAGTTATGTGTTTAGTGTGAAGGTGAAAGGCTGACTGGTTGGGGTGAAAACCAGGCCGCACAGGGTGCTAAGGGTGCGAAAAATTAAGCCTCTAAGTTAGGCCTTGTGACAGGTGAAATCAGAGCCCATTTTCTGGGTTCTGAAGACTACAAGTCGGGGAACGATGGGTGATCATAATCGACGGGAAGAACAAGTGTTATTGTCTTATGGGGCACGGATACAAAGATTGGAGGACCTGCTGGGGCCACCGCCTCAGACACCGTTGCAAGCAACTGTCTTCGAGAAATTACGAACAACAAACGATATTCTTGAGGATCTGCGGGTGACGGTGCAAGCCCTGAAAAATTCGGTAGACTCTTTACCCGAATTTGTTGAAGGAAGGATTGACTCTGTTAACGATGAAGTTAGTTTGTTGTCTGATGCGGTGAGCGATAAGATAGGCAAGGTACAAGATGATATATCATTGCTGAAACGTGTTGGTGCGAATGTTTTAAATGAACAACGGCAGGGTCCACCAAAAGTCCGGGTTCCTGATCCTAAAGCCTTTGACGGTTCTCGTGATGCAAAGGAAGTTGAGAATTTCCTTTGGGATATAGAAGTATATTTCCAGGCTGCTGGAGTCCCAGATGGTCAGAAAGTTTCAATAGCGAGCATGTTTTTGGCCGGGGATGCAAAACTTTGGTGGCGGGCGCGGGTGTCTGATGATGCCAGTGCAAATCGCGAGGAGATCACTACGTGGGACACATTGAAAGGTCTGTTGAAAGATCAGTTTCTCCCGGGGAACACAGATTGGATTGCCCGTAACACGCTGCGTAACTTACGGCATACGGGTGCTGTACGTGATTATGTGACGGAATTTACTTCTGTTATGCTTGATATCTCTAAAATGTCGGAGAAGGATAAACTGTTCAACTTCATGGCCGGTCTTCAAGGCTGGGCCCAAGCGGAGTTGAGAAGGCAAAGTGTGAGCGACCTTCCTTCAGCTATTGCTGCGGCAGAACGACTTGTCGATTTTAAAGTCGTTGGCGGACCTGAGCCGGCCCATAAGAAAAAGGACTCGACTAAGGAGAAAGGTGGGAAATTCAAAAAGCATAAAGACAAAGATGGTGGCAAACACAAGAAGAAGGCGGGGGAAAAGAAGGAGAAGTCCCGAGAGTCTAAGAACCAATCTCTGGTTGTGGACCGTTCAAACCGTGGGTGCTTTTTGTGTGATGGTGACCACCGTATGCGGGATTGTCCCAAACGTGTAAATGCCAAAGCGAATGCTGTGGTGGTGCAAGGCACTTCCAAGGATGCTGAGGAAGGTACCATGGGCCTTAACTCTATGCTGCTGTTGAACCAAGTTCAAAAAGGCCCTATTGCATGTGATGGCTTGATGTACACTAAGGTGGCCATAGGGAACAAAGATATTATGGCCTTGGTGGATTGTGGTGCTATCCACAGCTTTGTAAATGAGGAGCATGCTAGGAAGTTGTGCCTTACTGTTGAGCCTCACGAGGGAAAGATGAAAACGGTGAATGCTCAAGGTGAACCGATCAAGGGGGTGGCACAAGTTGAAATGCAAGTTGGGCCTTGGAAAGGATTGTGTGCATTGCACATCGTCCCTCTTGATGATTTTGCGATGATTCTTGGAATGGACTTCATGAAGAAGGCAAAAGTCTATCCAAAACCTCACGAAGGGAAGCTGTTCGTGGTTGATGATGGGAGAGAGCAGGCTCTCGCTGTCAAGTTTGCTGTCCCAAAGAAAGATACTAGCATGGTGTCGGCCTTGCAAGTTCGTGATGGACTAAGGCATGGTCACACAACGTACCTTTCGGCTTTGATTGAGACCAAACCAGACGTATTTTATGAGGTACCGAATGCTGTCGGTAAAGTGCTTGATGAATTCAAGGATATGATGCCCCCTGAGTTGCCTAAGGAGTTGCCTCCGCGTAGACCTTGTGACCATCGGATTGAACTAGAACCGGGCGCTCAGCCTCATGCACAACCTCCTTATCGGATGCCACCAGCCGAGCTGGCCGAATTGAGGAAGCAGTTGGATGAACTACTGAGTGCGGGACTGATTCAGCCTTCAAAGGCACCTTACGGTTCTCCAGTATTGTTCCAAAGGAAACAAGATGGATCGATGCGGATGTGTGTGGACTATCGGGCGTTGAACAAAGTTACCATTAAAAACAAGTATCCAATTCCAAATGCCTTGGACCTGTTTGACAAGCCGGCTCAAGCAAGGTGGTACAAGAAAATTGATTTGCGTTCTGGGTACTGGCAGGTGCGTATTGCCCCGGGCGATGAGGCAAAGACCACCTGTGTGACAAGGTACGGGTCGTTTGAATTCTTGGTGATGCCCTTCGGGTTAACCAATGCCCCTGCTACGTTTTGCAATTTGATGAATGATGTGTTGTACGAGTATTTGGATAAATTTGTGGTCGTATATTTGGATGACATCGTGATCTATTCTGAGACGGTTGATGAGCATGTCAAGCACTTGCGATGTGTGCTTGAAAAATTGAGGGAAAACAAGCTGTATTCTAAGAAGGAGAAATGCGAATTCTGTCGGGAGGAAATCGCATTCCTTGGACACATCATCAGCCAAGGAAGTATTCGCATGGACCCTAAAAAGGTGCGGGCTGTTGCTGATTGGCCCGAACCATCAAAGTGACCGAGTTGCGCTCCTTCTTAGGGCTGGCAAACTACTACCGAAGATTCATTAAAGGGTATTCTAAGGTAGTCAGCCCGTTGACGGATTTACTGAAGAAGGACAGGTGTTGGGAGTGGGACAAAGCTCAACAAGTTGCCTTTGATTTGCTGAAGCAAGTTGTGACCCAAGAACCGATACTGAAGTTGGCAAAGTTCGACCAGCCATTCGAGGTACAAGTCGATGCTTCAGATTGTGCTATTGGTGGGGTGTTGGTCCAAGACAAACATCCTATTGCTTTTGAGAGTCAGAAATTGAAGGATGCTGAGACCCGATACAGTACCCATGAGAAGGAAATGATGGCAGTAATTCATTGCTTGGAAATGTGGCGTCACTATCTGTTGATAACAAGGTTCACGGTTGTCACGGACAATGTAGCCAATACTTATTTTTGAACTCAGAAGAAGTTGTCCCCAAAACAGGCACGGTGGCAAGAATTCTTGGGGGAGTTTGATTTCGATTGGGTCCATCGGCCGGGGAAACATAATGATGTTGCTGATGCCCTAAGTCGAAAGGCTGTGGCGTCCTATGTGTTGGCCTTGTATGCTGTTGAGTCCGACTTTGTTGAGAAGGTCCGTGGTGAATCCCTTAAAGATCCTGTCTATGTAAAACTCGCCGAGCAAGTGGCAGCCGGTGAAGTGCGCAAGTACTGGCTAGAGGACGGCTTACTCTATGCCAAAGGTCGAAGGATGTATATTCCATCGAGAGGAATGAGGCGCGAGCTGCTGAAAGATTATCACGATTCTCAGTGGGCTGGCCATCCCGGTGTTGAGCGTATGTACGCTTTGATGATGCGAAAGTTTTATTGGCCAAAAATGCTTGATGACGTTGAGTCCTATGTCCGGACGTGCCTTGTTTGCCAGCAAGACAAGACCGAAAAGAAGAAAGAGGCAGGCCTGTTGCAACCCTTGCCTATTCCGGACAAGCCTTTTCAGTCACTATCTTTGGATTTCATTGACGGGTTTCCAAAGGTGAAAGGTATGGCCTCGGTGTTGGTCATTGTTGATCGATTTTCAAAGTATGGGATATTTATTGCTGCTCCAGGTACATGCTCGGTAGACCTTGCTGCTGAGTTAGTTTTCAAGCATGTGGTGAAATATTTCGGTATGCCCGATGACATAGTGAGTGATCGTGACCCGCGCTTCACGGGACGATTTTGGACGACCATGTTCAATTTGATGGGGACCGAACTGAAGTTTTCCACGGCCTATCATCCTCAAACTGATGGCCAAACTGAACGGATGAATCAGTTGCTTGAAGAATATCTCAGGCATTATGTGACCGCAAGCCAGGATAATTGGGTGGAATTGTTGTATATGACCCAGTTTTGTTATAATTTGCACAAGTCCTCGGCGACTGGTATGAGCCCTTTTGAGCTGGTTTATGGACAGCAACCTCAACTACCGCATGATGTAGCGGTACAGCGGACTGGTGGGAAATGCCCCGCGGCATATCGATATGCTCGGGCGCAACACGAACTCTTGGTAGAGGCCCGAGATAGCCTTGCTAAGGCGCAGCGAAGAATGAAAAAATATGCGGACCGCGGACGACGGGACGTGCAATTCGCTGTCGGGGATCTCGTGTTGCTAAAGTTGAGCCCAAAGGTTTGGAAAAGGATCTCGGCAAAGACAGTCCATCGTGGACTGATTCCAAACTATGAGGGACCATTTGAAATTGTGAGTAAAGTTGGGAACGTAGCATATAAACTCAAGTTTCCTGATCGGTTAAAGGTGCATCCCACTTTTCATGTATCCTATTTGAAGAAGTATCATCCTGATTTGATTGGGGCAAGTCGCAATGTCTCTACTCGAGCGCCGCCAACTGTGCGGGACCATTTCACGAAAGAGATGGATAAAATTCTGGATCATAGGACCCTTGGCCAGAGTAAGAAGAACTGACGGACAGACTATCTTGTCCAATGGAAGGGTGAGTCCGAGGCGGACGCTACTTGGATTCGGAACACTAAACTATGGCAGTTTACTGATAAGATTGCTAAGTACGAGGCAAGAAGGATGGTGAACCCCCAGTCGACGAGGGCGTCGACGAGCTCAGGCGGGGGAAGTTTGTTACGGACTTAAGCTTGAGCTGGACCCGGGCGCAGTCCTTTATATGCGCCAAGGGTCAAGAAACCGGGCACTTGTGCACGGTGTCGGATAAGGGAACAAGTACATTGACATGGTAAAGGCTTCGGGCTAGCTTAGCGAGGATGCTGGGTTGCAGGGCCGGGTCAATGTAGACTGAATATGGGATCAGTCAAGTCTTTGCGGGTTGTGCATGGCCAAGCAAAGACGTGCGGGCAAGGTAGCAATGCGGTACGGCGCCTTTGCACTATGTTGGGCAGGATTAACTCTAAGCTATGCGGGTTGCCGATGCGGCTTGTTGGGCGCGCGAGTGTTGGCGCGACGCTCAAACTGTAGGCGGGAACGGTTAAGGTTTCGAATGCATTTGGGTTGCACGTGGACGCTGTTATTTGGTTCCACGTGGCCTAGGCGGGGAATCTTCAAGTGTGTATGGCAGAATGAATCAGATGGGCGACGCGTGTACAAGACGGTTACAAGACGGTTACATTGGACACGTGGTGCGCTTGTTTTGATATTCCGCGCATTGGACCGTTGTGCGGACGGTTATGCGAAGTAGGCTTAGAACGTGGGCAGTTATTATAACTGCCAGACGGTTTCTGTCCTAGCGGTTGGGGATGTCAACCGCAACTTGCCTGCGGGCCTATATAAAGGCCTTGAGCTGCACAGTCGCGCGTAAGGAGTGATACCGCGAGTTTGTGTGCATGCCTTGGCGAATTTTCCAGCGATAGTGAAATTGTTGGTTGGGCGTGGAGCCCGTAAACATTGTTGTCTTGTTTGTTTACTTGATGCTTTGTGTGTGTGTTGCTTGTTGGTGTATTGCTTAAAACACTATTCCGACTTTGTATAATCAAGTTGTGCGTTTAGTGTGAAGGTGAAAGGCTGACTGGTTGGGGTGAAAACCAGGCTGCACATGGTGCTAAGGGTGCGAAAAATTAAGCCTCTAAGTTAGGCCTTGTGACAGATGTGCTGATGGAGCAGATGGCGAACCAGATAAAGGAGCTCCAAGCTAGGGTGGAGGGTAGGCGGTAGCCCAGGGTTCAGGGTCACCCCTTCACAGACGATGTGTTGGGAGCCGACTTACCTCAAAACTTCAGGGAGCCAAGCATATATTATGATGGGTCCTCAGATCCAGCTATACATTTGAGTTGTTTTGAGAATGTGGATGTTTTACATCGTTACAGTGATGGTGTTTGTTGCAGGGCCTTTTTGACTACCTTGACGGGCTATGCTCAGGATTGGTTCCACCAGTTGCCGGCGGGATCCGTCTATAGTTTTGATGCATTTAGATCGTTGTTTATCAATCAGTTCTCCATCGCACGAAAGCACGAAAAGACATACATGTCACTTATGCGCATCCAACAGCTTGAGAATGAGTCTCTTAGGGAGTATGTGGCTAGGTTCACGCGGGCGTGTGTGGAAGTGCCTACAGCTACTGCGGAGATTAAAGCAGCAGGGCTCACGCGAGGGTTGAAGGCGGGTCACTGCAGGCACTCATTATCCAAGAAGCCTGCTCGGTCTTATGATGAGCTGCTGGAAAGGTGTACCAAGTATATGAACATGGAGGAGACAGAGGCATATTTTCTTGCGCAAGAGCGAGTTAGGGGGACGAGGTAGGAGGAGGAGCACAAGTAGGATGAGAGCTAATGTACTTAAGCATATTGGGAAGATAGCGCTAAATTGTGAGGGACCATACACCATCCAAGAGGAGTTTGCGGGAGGAGCTTATGAGCTAAAAGATCCATAGGGTAAGGTCTTTCCTAGGCTTTGGAATGTTGCAAATCTTAAAAAGTATGATTGCTAGTTTGATTGTAACTCTTGAGTTGTTTTTGAGACACTTGTGATTTGTTTGATTACTCTGCTTTGTTGAATCATTTGTGATTTGGCTTGGGGAATGCACTAAGCATGAATGGCAAATTTATGCATTATGAAGCGCTTCTGAGCATATTTTTCTCCTTGTCTAAGTGTCAAATGCTCGTAATGAAGTCAACAAGTGTGACGGCTTAAGGCCGAGCTCTTGTGAGTTCGGGTGCTGTTTAAATTGTGTGACGACTTGAGGCCGAGCTCTTATGCGTTCGGGTGTTGTTCGGAGAATGCGATGGCTTAAGGCCGGGCCCTTACAAGCTCGGTTTCTATCCAAGGATATGACGGCTTAAGGCCGAGCTCGTCCGAGCTCGAGGGCTGTTCCAAGAATGTGATGGCTTAAGGCCGGGCCCTTAAAAGCTCGGGTGCTATCCAGGAATATGATGGCTTAAGACCGGGCCCTTACAAGCTGGGGTGCTA